TAGTACATGCCTGCCAAATTACTGTGCTCTAAGAATATTTTCTACCTTGCAGACAAAGTATCTTATAGCTCTGAAGAGCCTGTGCGATGCAGGAGTGGTTGATCCCTACCCACCCCTCTGTGACATCAAGGGTTGTTACACCGCTCAGTTTGAGCACACAATACTGTTGAGGCCAACAGTGAAAGAAGTGATCAGCCGAGGAGATGATTACTAGGAGTTTTGTTTTAAACCCTTTCACTTTCAAGATCTAAATATAACTTCTCAGCACTGTTGGCTACACATTCTTAGTAAGTAAGTAGTGAGGATCTGGTTTTTAATCAAGTAGTATCTGCTTGTTGATAATTTTCTTTCTTCTCATCACGACTGTGCTCAGAAGTGTATTGCACTTGTAAGGAGAATTTCTTTTTTGGTCACCACTGGGAGTGAAAGGGTTAATCCTATCTTAACTAACTTAAATACTTAAATTAAAGTATTAAGAAAACCAAAATTAATTTGCAACATCCTGGGAAGCAAGCAGACCATTTGGTCAGGAGAGGGGCTAGGAAAGTGCATTGGGTCTATTTAGCCTGTTCCATGCATTCAGCAAGAAAAATGGTCAGAAATATTTAATGGCACAATGATAATGGTAATGCAAAAAGGGAGATTTGGGTTGGGTCATATTTATTATGTGCCTTTTCCAAACCTCTCGCTTTTTTTTTACGCCTCTGGTACTATCACATTTACTCTTGGACTTCATTTTACTAACTCAGTCTTACTCAGTGATGTCTGAAACTGGGACTGCAGCTAGGATCAATCAGAAACTATAAATAATAATAATAATAATAATAATAACTTTATTTAAGTGTCAGTGTATTTTAGCACTGCTGTGCTAATTGGGGACACTGTAAATAAGGAAACAAATATCGTAAATGAACAGAAACTTTTTATATACATGTAAAAACCCCAACTGGTAGGAGGCAGACCAGTTGGCTATTTACAAAGCGTGCAGGAGTTGAATTCGGGGCCACCGAAGACAAATCCATCCAGTGGCAGGGAGGAGGACTTGAACCCGGGACCTCTGGCTTACAAGTGCAGCGCCCTAACCACTAGGCCACGCTCGCCTCCTTAAACTAGAAACTAGAAACTAGAAAACTAGCTTTTATTTTCATTAGAATAAAAAATGTAATAGTTATGGCTGAAAAACCTAGAAACTGCTGTTGTTAATGTTCTAAACCAAGGTGGAATGATATGCTCAAGAAACAAAAAGGGAAAACCAAAACAGAAAAACTGAATTATCCTGTAATACCTCTTACTGATGCAGTAGTGTAGAGGGTTTCTTAAGAAACTTTCCCCCCTTAATAGTATCAATGGTTTAGTTAATATATACTTGAGATTTAATATTCAGAGAGAGCAGTCTGACATTTACATAGGAAAACTTTGAGAGTAAATTTTAACAGGTAAAAGCATCCTTTGCATTTGATTAAAAACGTAAACATGGTAATTAACAGAATTTGCAATAAATGCGTTACTTATTTTACACGAGCTAGAGTGTGCTTATAAATTTAATTCTGTGTTGGGAGAGTTTTATAGTGTTTTTGTGCTTTCACTAGTTTCTGATTACCTTCTTTTTTGAACACAATGAGAATGAATTACTGCGGTAGCTTTGTTTTTCTTATATTAAATTATCAGTTGTAATGAAGGATTAGTTGACATATATTTGCTAAGAAACTAGCTAGACAACCTGCTGGCATACAGTCAGTATGCATATTCTCCAAACTGTTCTCTATGCATTTTATAAGATTCTGACGTGGAGAATTTGTGGCAGTCAAAGAGTCTTGTCCATGGTCATTTTCTTCATTCTCTTGACTTTAATGTTTGATTCAGGTGTGATGCTGTAAGGTGAAATTAAATGCATCACTTTTTGGGGTTAAAGAAGTTAATTAAATAGAGTTGTAAAGGCTCATCAGCACAGCCCCTTTTATAGCTGCTCCATAAAAGGATCAGAACTCAGTTCCTATCGGTTTACTGCAAAACAACCAACTTGGGTTCCTTGTGTGCTGATTTATTTCTTGTAAACTTTTTTGTAAACTTCTTTAAATGCAAACTTTCTTTGGGTTTTAATTGATGTTCATGCATATGTTCCTTTCCCATGACTTTCAACTACAGATAAATTACTGACACTGCAGAGGTTGAGTCTTCTGTTCTTCCCATATCACTGAAAAGACTACTCCCATAGCATTTTTGCCATCTCCTTGGGTGTGTTCATGAAAAAGATTAAGTTTCTTTAGTTCCCAATAAAATTTATACATTGGTCACTTGGGCAGAAAAGACCATTGCTTCTATATATTTATGTAGTTTCCCTTTGCAACACTTACCAGTTTTCCATCACAACACTTCTCACAACCTAAGCTAAACCCCTGTTTCAAAAAAACTAATCAGTCACATCTGCTATATTGGTCAAATCACCACCACAAAAATTTGCTGGTCTGGGGTTCAATTCCTTCTAGCTAAGTTGGATTTTTTTCCTTCATCCTTTACAAAGTCATCATCAGAGTCAAGTGATTAGTTGTTGTCAGTCAAATTTTCTAAGTCTGGTTTGTTTAAACTGATTGGTCAGTTTTGCAGTGACGATATTGGCTGCAATGTTTATGGTAAAAAACAGATTGTGAGCAGAATTTACTAACAAAGCAAGAAAGGGGTAAATATATAAGGGTTTATTTATTTTCAAAGTGATAGCCATACATAAATGATTACTTGATACATTATTGCAGATAGGAGCAACATTTTGTTATTCAGTACTGTAAGGACAACTGGCTTCTTCAGTCAAACTTTCCCTCAAAAATATTTTAAACAGCAGTGTGAGGTAAAGCTAGAAGCACCAGTTGAAAAACAATCAAATGCATTGTTAACAAGCATTCGATCCTTCTACTCCTGAAGCAATTAAAAATATTATTTTCCCTTAGTACTGGAAAACAACTGATAAGAGAAAAACATTGTTTTCAAAGCAATGACACCAAATTTTTTGGAGCTGTTCAACCTTTAACTCCCAGGAGTGACCAAGACAGAATTTCTCCTTACAATATCAAACAGACAAGTGATGAGATCAAAGAAAGATATATATTAGGGGATTATTGGTTGATCCCATACCAAATGCTCTAAACTAACATCACAAGATTTGTATGGCAGACAGTAAGGAGAATTACTAAAGAGGTCTTGGGAGTTAGAGGGTTCACAAAGAAATGTATTCATAGCAGCTGAAAGAATTTAATACCTGCTTTTTTAACAATTGGTTCATACGTCAGCATGCGTTCATCGAGATATGAAACAACCAGTGAGTTTGGAGAGTACAAAAGATGTGTAGGAGTTGCTGGAGGCGTAGCTGAGAGCAACTCTAGCTTCTCGAGTGTTCTCCAAACTTCCCAAGTGCTTCATATCTCAATGAATGCACAGCTGATGTATGAACCAATTCTTTTATAACATTTTCAACCTGAAGGAAAATTTTTTTTCTTGAGGGATTTGTTTGCTGACATTGTGAGCGGGCACAATAGGAGTATGAAGCATGTTCGCACAATTTGATTTGATTACACAAATTTACTAGCTATGTTATACTAGTAGTTGACAGGTTTAGTCTTCTGAATCCTTTACATTCATTACACTTGCATGTAAACAGAGTATATTTAATATATGTTATGATCTTAAGATGTTGAATTGCAAATGCTCTCCAAGACAGACAGTCTTCCTTCAACTAACAACAGCTTTAACTTTCAGAAGTGATTGGCATGTAAGTTCTCCCTAAAGTATCCCTACATTACCCTGAAAACAGGTAATGAGAATATTCAAACTTATCAGGTATAACTTTTTATCTTGATCTAACAACTAATTCTTGAAACTGATTTAGATGGAAATATATTGCAGCTAGAGGGGAACTTACAATTGAATCTTGAGAGCTTAAGAGTTAACAAACTAAGTCAAAGTTGAACTGCTGTATCTGAAAATTGTTGCGGTGATCAGCCTAATTTATGAGTATTTTTTATGCTTTCCAAGGCTGTCCATTCACAGAGATGTTAGCTGAACCTATTTTCAACTAAATTATGTTCCTGGACGTCTCTTTAAGCCATACTCTGTATAAACTTGCCCTATCACAATACTGCCCAGACATATAGCTGACATTACACTCCCCCCCTGGACATAGATGTTGGTGTTCTTCACAAACCAGTTTGAATAAAAACCCAGGCAAAGAGTGATACAGGCAACAAGATACACTAGTGAACCACACATGGCATGCAGTTGTTTCAATTGTTTAGGCTTCATCATACTGGCAAGGGGTAGCTTGGAGTACAACACTCCAACACCTTGAAGAGATTGGAGACAGATGAGAATCACAGTGCATAACCCCAGGCATCCATGCCAGCTTTGAAAGTGAAGCTTGTTGTGAATGTTTTTGTTATAGTAGATGGCAGCAAAGCCACCCACGGCAGTGACTACAGCTGAGGTTTGAAGTATCCAATGTAGTTTGACCTTAGTGGCACGAGGAGCTGAAGCAATGAGAGAGCTTTGTGGTGAAAACATCAGGATGGCTTCAATCATCAGGAAACTGAACTACATTAAAAAAAAATTCTGCAGTAAGAAAAACTATTCAAGGCTATCTAACGATTTGTAGGAAATTTGCCAATATATGAACACAATAATTTTATTAGAATTTTAATATGATTATTGTAGTTCCTTGAATAAGCACCAAGATTCTAATAAGCACCTTCCCTGCATAAGCTCCTACCTCCTTGGCCAAAATGTCAAACAAGCACCCCCCCCTTCTCCCTCACTTTCTTAAGCAGTAGGAATACGAGGAAAAACTGTTTCGATTGCCACTTTATTTATAACTTCTTTAAGCTTCAACTACAGCAGAATCAGCACAGGAGAATAAATAAGCGCTTTTGAGTGCAAATAAGGCAAAAATATTTGTTATGAAAATGTCTCTAAGATTTCGAGCGAGCTTTCAACTACGGATCAGATTTTACTTACACCCAAGGCCATCAGAGTTGGATGCCACGAAAACAGACCTGAGTAATGAAAAAAGTCATGGATAGATGTACTTGTCACATTAATCAACATATTGTAGCAAAAAATTTTTATGTGTTAACTATCAAGTAAGCACAACTGGACGATGGATCATTGAAAGCAACAATGAAGTACTGGTAATGATGAACATATTGTTAGGGATAACTTCGTCTTCATTATGTAACACTGAGCTTTCGCCAAATGAAGCTCTTTAGTTCGTATGTTCTGCCTTCCGAAGGTAGGTCATGTGATAATACTAGAGCACTGCTTCTTTCAAATTTCCTCTTATTTGCGTGCATATATATGTAGGCGTAATTTACAAAATACAAAGAACGAAATTCCCCTTGAGACCTTCGATCAAGAAGAAAACAAAACATTTAAGCTAAAGAGGTCTAAGAAGGCTTCACGATTAAACAATATTTAAACAAACTTACTTGATCCAGGCTGAGCAAGCCAGATCACTAGCAAAGAGAGTCCTACAGCAACAATATGGACCATTTTCAAGAGAAAGCTCCTCTGATCACCGGCGTTTTTGTCAAGCACAGCCACCACTGCCTCGCTCGGGATCATCTGTTCTTTCATTTGGAAATTGGTAACCGCGCAATTTAAGCGCGC